AACAAATTGAAGGTTTGTGGTCTACCTGCCATTTTTCAACAGCATGTCTTCATTTTGGGTCTTTGTCACACTTGGGTAATTCTTGCAATATTTCAGACTTTTTCATTATTATTATATCTATCTTCATGATCTGTAATCAGTGATCTTGATGTTACTATTGTAATTGTTTTGGGGCACCATGAACCGTGCTCATATAAAACAGGGAACTTAATTGATAAATGTTGTGTGTGTTCTGACCGTTTCATCAACTGGCTGTTTCCTTGTCTCATCCTCTCCCAGGCTTCCCTATTTCCTGAGACACAGGATATGGAAATCAAGCCAATTAATAACCCTGCAAGGGCCTCTGAGCATTCAAGTGGAAGGAAAGTTGCATGATTAGAAAGCTTAGTGAGGAAGGCATGTTGAAAGCCGAGATAGGTTGAAAGCTAGACCTCTTGCACCACCAGTTAGCCAGGTTGTGAATGCAAAGGAAAAGTTCTTGAAGTTAAAAATGCTCCTCCAGTGAACAAGCAAATCATAATAAAGTGAAACAGCCTTATTGCTGATATGGAGAAAGTTTAAGAGGTCTGTTACATGTGGCCTTCTGGATCCTTGAGTGTGGCTTTTTGACTGAATCCAAATCCAAGTTTGGATTTGGTTGAGGGGCCACACTTGGGATCTGGAGGGCCACATGTGGCTTTGAGGCTGCAAGTTTCTCACCCCTGGAAGATCAAATCAGCCGTTATATTCCCTTAAATCAAAGTCCAATCCAGAGCAAGGCCCTAATACTTCTAATTCTGTGAAGGCTGAGAGCGGTGAGGAAGCTAGAGAAGAAAAATTGCAAGCTAACAGACATTGGTTCTTGAGGTTTAAGGAAGGAAGCTATCTCCATAACATAAAAGTACAAAGTAAAGCAGCAAGTGCTGATGTAGAAGCTGCTAAAAATAATTGATAAAGGTGGCTATACTCAACAACATATTTTTAATGTAGAGGAAACAGCCTTCTATTGGAAGAAGATACCAGCTTAGATTTTTATAGCTTAGAGAAGAGAAGTCAATCCTTGGCTTGAAAGGACAGGCTGACTCTCTTGTTAGGGGCTAATGCAGCTGGTGACTTTTAAGTTGAAGCCAGTGCTGTTTACCATTCTGAAAATCCTAGGGCTCATAAAAATTCTGCTAAATTACTCTGTCCGTGCTCTAGAAATGGAACAATAAAGCCTGGATAACAGCACATCTATTTATAGCATGGTTTACTGAATGTTTTAAGCCCATTGTCGAGACCTACTGCTCAGAAAAGATTCCTTTCAAAATATTACTGCTCATTAATAGTGCATCTAATCACCCAAGTGCTTTGATGAAGGTGTACAAAAAGATTAATGTTGTTTTCATGCCTGTTAACACAACATCCATTCTGCAGCCCATTGATCAAGGAGTAATTTTGACTTTCAACTCTTATTATTTAAAAAGTACATTTTGTAATGCTGTAGCTGCCATAAATAGTGATTCTTCTGATTGATTTGGTCAAAGTTAATTGAAAATCTTCTGGAAAGGATTCACCATTCTATGTGTCATTAAGAACAGCTCTGATTCATGGGAGGAAGTCAAAATATCAATATTAACAGGAGGTTTGGAAGGAGTTAATTCCAACCCTCATGGATGACTTTGAGGGGTCAGTGGAGAAAGTAACTGCATGTGTGGTGGAAATTGCAAGAGAACTAGAGTTAGAAGTGGAGCCTGAAGATGTGACTGAATTGCTGCAACCTCATGATCAAACTTGAACCGGATGAGGAGTTGCTTTTTATAGATGAGCAAAGAATGTGGAAACAAACAGAAAACAAATATTTAGCTCAGGTTTAAATCCTATCAGGTCACTAATCATATTAAGTGTAATGGCCTAATGTAATTAAATGACAGCCTAGCAGAAGGGATTAAAATAAATACAACCCAGCTATATATGTAGGCTATAAGAAACTCACTTTCAAATATAATGACATAGATAAGGTAGAAGTAAAAGGATGAAAAAGATAGATCATGCAAACACTCATCAAAAGAAAGTTGGAGTGGAGCTGTAAATTAGACTTGAGAGGAAAGAAAATGATCAGGTACAGAGACTTTAATTAA